TGTCTGAGATTTTTATGATCATTTTTCTTCTAATAAGCCAAGTGGAGTGGTATACTATGCATCTTACATAAAAAATATTTACAAGTAGCTTACTGGCCATTATGGGTGGCATTTGTTCTTGATCATTTGAACTTTTTTACTCCCTCCAGCATCCCTGGTCGTTATGAGTCATTTTGGAAAGAAGTCGATTCTGTCAAGCACATATGGAGGAATAGAAAGGAATTGAAGGTTGAAGATGCAGGCATTGCTGCTTTGTTCGGCTTGGAGTGCTTTGCATGGTATTGTGCTGGTGAGATAGTAGGAAGAGGATTTACATTCACTGGTTACTATGTCTGAGATATCAGTTTCCAAAAATTTGTTTGTTCAAATTGACAACTGTGAGGTCTCTCTTTTTATTAGCATGATTTGAGTAACAGGGAATTCATACCAGGTTTTGTTTCCCAAGAAAGTTTTTGGATCTGAGAAATCAGTGTATAAATTGATTGCAATAATTTACTAATCCTCGCTCATCTTATTTCCCACCTCAGTGGAGAGGCTTAGATTGAACTTTGTAATAGTAATTTTATCTGTTGAATGTTACTGCTGCCCATGACAAGTATACTTTGTTAGTGTTCCTTTTGTCGGTGTGTGGATACCTCTTGGTTCCATCAGTAGAAATAACAAACATTTTATACATAGAAAAAATGTAGTGGTTGACTTTACAGCTGAGCTTATGTTGATTTAACTAATGTTTGATATACACAATCTCTCATATGCATATAGCTACCCCCTTCTCTCCTATCATCTGTATCCCTCTGAGCTACATGCTCTACAAGCTGAACTATCTTTTCTGGTAGGAACCACTGCATAAGTCGCCGTTGTCCAGGAGAAAAACAAGCTAGCTTTCTTCGATCCTTGTTCTAGGGACATACAACTAAACCTCCAAGTTGACATTGGTTACCCTTGCCTTTGCTTTCTGCCCGATCTGCAAGCTTTCCATTAGTGATATAATATATTAGTGGGCGTTTGGACATAAGAATTGTAAAATTCCATATTTCACGTGTGTAAATGGTATTTGAAATTTAGAGTTGTGTTTGGACGTGAATATAACTTTGGGTTGTTTTTTAAGTTTTGTGAGTGATTTGAGTGAAAAATTTGAAAAATAACTTTTGTAGTTTTTTAAATTTTCGAATATTTTTAAAATGTATCTTCAAGTGAAAATTGAAAATTTTATGAACAAATGCTGATTTCGAAAAAAAAGTGAAATTTTTTTGGGAAAAGGGGAAAAATTTCTTATGTCCAAACGGGCTTTTAATGTGTTTGTGTTTAATGGAGACATGATATTCATATGATATAAGGTTAAACTTTCAAAAGTAGAATATAATACTATAGTATAAGTTTGTTCACCTCCTGTATATTGGTCGATACAAAATGAAAACTAAATTCCACTTCACAGGATATCAAATACAATGACAATAAGCCATCAGTGTAAACTGCGAACAGCCAGCTATGAAATTGAAATCGCCAAACTAAACTTATCCACTTTTTTCTGTTTCTTTCATGGAAGTAGTTTAAGAGAGTAACGAAGATTCAATTGACATAAATAGTAAGGGTTTGATAAGATTCGAGCTCATAAACATCAGTTCAAATTGTGACTTGTTTTTTGTTTTGTTTTTGGGTATGTTTTCTATTTGGTGTCCTGTACCCGCTTAGGCCTGATTAATCCAGATTTACGTAACTCATTTTAACGTGTAAGGAGTAAATATGAACCTAATGTATAACTGTAGGGATATTTTTGATAGAAAACGTAAACGGAGGGTAAATAAGGCCTATTTATGATAGTAGAGGGGCAAATCAGACCTTCATCCGTACATTATATCTACTTAATTCAATTATTCAACAACCAAACCTCGTAAGATTAGATCAGAGACAGATCCAGAATTTAAACTTTATAGGTTGCGACAACGATTTCAAGTTAATATACAAGAATAACTGTGGTGGACCCGTATCTTCTACTCTGGATCTGCCAGTAGATAAGATATATCCTCAAATAGGGGTGTTCGTCGGTTGGTACGGTACGGTATTTAGACATTTCGGTTCGATATTTTCGATATTCGGTTTCCTAAAATGCTATACCAATATCGTACCTAATTAAATTCGGTATGGTTCGTTTTTTCGTCTTTCGGTTTCGATTTATTCGGTACGGTAATTTCGGTTTATTCGGTTCTAAAACAGCTTCTAAACGTTATATTTAGGGGAGAATAATACCTTAACTAGCCGGCAAAATTAAAATTATAACTAGCCAGCAAAATCAATCTTATGAATGCAACAACACTACACATCATATATGGGACATCTATAAACAAGAGCATAAGATTAGAATAACGTTTACAAACTTCATCAACATGTAAGTATGTCTGGTCTAAAGCTCTAACTTGCATCTCTGTAATATACCAGACACCAGTAAGCTTCTCAAATGTGACCAAAATAAGTTTTTCACAAGTGTTGTTTACAGAAATCATTCGGATAACATTCATTAACCACATAGACAAAAGTAGGTAGCGCACAAGCTTTAACAAAAGAATATGGAACTAGAAACATTCTCGTGAAGCTCTCTGGTAACTGGGGGCTGCAAGGATGACATGATATTTAAAATTAATCCAATATATATTTCGGTACGGTATCGGTATTTCAGTATTTTTTAAAAAAATACCAAATACTATACCTAATACCAAATATTTTTAAAATGTAAATCAAATACCATACCAGATACCAAAATACCAAATACCGAATATCAAAAATTTTAATTTTGATATGGTAATTCGGTATTTACCAAATTATGCACAGCCCTATCCTCAAAGTTGCCAAGTATCAAAGGAGTATATAAAGAAAAGAGGGAAATAGAAATAAATCAAAACTAAGGGCATCACAAGTGGATTACTAGTATTTTCTTGGGGTGCAAACTGTAATAATCACAACTTTCAGTGGGATAGGTAGAAAATCTCCGATTCATGATTTTCTCAGAAGCCTCTATCAGAAAGCTAGGGTCACTGCTATCGGCGACTGAAGCAAAACATCGCCTGTAGTATTACTGCAAATCGCAGACGAAAGGTAAATTTTGAGCTCTATTTTTACTCTATTATGCTCTTAATTAGTTTTATTTGACTTTTTTTTTCTTCTGTTTTTTCTTCCTTATTAGTACAATATATTTGTTATGAAATGAAATTGACTCGAATAGAGTGAAATGGATATAGATGATTCATATAGTTGATTCGATTAGTTTAGGCTTGAAGCATAGTTCGTTGATTGATTAATTGATTAATTTCAAATTTTTGCTAATCAGCTTCTGTCAGATCTCGTTTGGTACATTTTACAATATAAGCACACGATATACACTTAGGCATGTGTAAAAGAGAATGAATTTGTTATAGGTTTATATGTTGTATTTTTGGTGGTCAAAGGAGGATTCAGGATTTGAATTCTATGAGAGTGTAAATTTAGGATAGAGACCTCAACTGCTAATAACCAGGGTGTGCATTATTGGGATTAACACCGAAAAACCAAAATTTGGATTGTATTTTTTCTTTGGTTTCGGATTGAGAAACTAAAATTTTGTTATGATTAGTTTCTTTTCTATTGAAATCAAAGAAACTAAACATAACAAATTCTTTATATCAAAGTAGCAAATATGTAAAATTATCGCTGTTGAGTCTTAAAACTCAACTATTTGCCTGCCTGCAGGTCTTTAATTGTTAAGTTTCTCATCTAAAATCTATTCCTTAAAATTAAAAAGGGGTTGGATCACCTCAAGTACCAAATGCTCCCGTACATCTCAATGCAGATCTTGATTGCTACAGCGTGTTCTTATAAAATTTGGAAGGCTTGATTTTTCCACCCGTCTCCTAAAGATCTCTCTCCCAGCATATACAGAACACCAACATCTGCTCAGCAATAACTTTGTACTCAGTTTTTTTATTTCCTTCTTCCAAATTGCATTAGCAATTTGTCACTTTTTTCGGAGAGAAACTTTCTGAATTATGCACAATTATTTCCTTGTATCCAGTTCCACCACAATGACCCATCTTATTTTCTTCAGAGACTTAAAATAATCTATGTTTATCTTGATTGTTTTTTGTTGGATAAATCAAATAACGAGTGTTGTTTTTCTGGTTAGCTGGAATAAATAGAATTAGTTTAATTTTAGAACGCACAAGGAAGCCATTGTGTGCTTCCATCGGTGAAGGCTTAGCTTTAGCAGTTAAAATAAAAGAAGTATAGAGGAGAGAATGCCCTTTGTAGCTATCTACAAATTAGCACTGCAGCAGCAGCTGAGGGTGAGAGGTTTTGGACCTGAGAAGTTGAGACAACGGAAGGAAGAAAGACCAAATAAAAGGAAGAAAGTGATTCTATGCCAGCCTTTAAATTTTAATTGGACATGTGGCTAAAATCTAAACTACCATTGAGAAGTATTGGAGGATTTAGTACTGGACGGGATCTCATACAATGGTATAGGGTCTAGGGCGAAGGTATTGGGTTCGACTGAACTGAACCCATAGCTTACGATGTGGATCCAACCCTGTTGGTGGGAGATGATAAGGGTTTTGGTTTATTGGTTTGACTCAGCTATGACTGATGATATTCAGCTTGATCTGTGAGATAGAATCGGAACTAGCTAGGAAAACATCAGCTTTTATTTAGCGGGGTTTGAGAGCAATTACTTGTAGTTTGTCAACTAAACCACGGAAAAAAAACTTTCTTTTTTCTTGTGCACGTTAGAATACCAATAACTCTATGCTTTTTCAGAGTCTTTTAGCCTTATCCTATGCCAGTAGAAAATATGGATCACTTCTAGTACTTTTCATTTTTATGTTTATTTTGTGTAATGTTGGCCAGACAAATTTAAATGTGGAACACGGGCAGTGAGGATTCATATAGCCGACCCTAACATGTTTGGGACTGAGGTGGGGTTATTCTATTAACCAATGATTATATGCAGTTAAATGAGATTAGATTCTTGGACTTGCCAGTTTTTAGTAGTCCCTGGTTTTTGTCTGATTTGTTTGGGAAAAAAGTATTCAAGGAAATTTTGAAGTGGGCCCGAAATAGAGTAAAATAGATATTGATATTCATATAGATGGGCTTGAGGCTCAGTTGATTGATTTTTTGATGAAAATTTTGGGGTTGAGACTCAACTATGTTCTTAGTTTTAGAACATTTAGAAAGGACCACAGAAATAAAGGTGATCTATGCAAAGTCATTCTGGATTTACACATGTGAGAGCATGATCTTTTGGTTTACTCATGTTCAAAACTACTTGATCAAAATGCTCATTCGATCCCATATTAGATTGCTAAATTAGCTAACCTTTTGCTCTTTTTTCTGAGGGTAGTGGCATGCTATATTTTGAACCTTTTTCACGCTAGATCTTTACTGCTTACCTATTTTTGTAAGTCTGGAAAAAAATGGTAATAATTTTTATGTGGTTTTCTTTTAAATTGAAAAAAGTTGCAAAATGGGGGGTGTATGTCTGGTCCCTTATTTTGGGATAAATATAAGAATCCATTTGTACAACTCCGAGACGATCTGTATAAGAAAGTCCATCAAGCCTCCCAGAAATCTTACCAACTTCTATATAATTGGGTATCTCCACTTTGCACCAACAATGTAGAAGAAAAGGAGAACTCTTGGCCCACGACAACGGATTCTCAACCCCTCATTTTTTTTATTGACTTTTCTACATATTAACCAAAAATACCAAAGGTTGTGGCCTTCCCAGCTTCTTTCTGCCTGCCTCCTAGTTTCCATCGCATCCTCCAGCGTGCTAGAGAGAGAGTATGTCTACTCCCTTAGCTGGTTAGATGTTTGATTTTATTTCCTTTATTGTTGGGTCCAGGACTTTCTTGGTATTGATGGCATCCAAGATTCAGCAACTGCAATCTAAGGCATGTCAAGCTTCACAGTTTCTTGCTAAGCATGGTACTGGCTACTACAAACAGTTGCTGGAGCAGAACAAACAGTATATTGTGGAGCCACCCACTGTTGAAAAATGCAATGAATTGTCCAAGCAGTTGCTCTACACTCGCCTTGCCAGGTTATACTCTCTTCAGCCTAATTACTTGGTATCTATTGCTAAGCTTTTAGGATCAGTCATTGTGTTTCTGTGACGAGCAGGCCACTATCTGCTTGGACTTGTGTTGAAATTTGCACTTGAAAACCAGTATGAGTAGTTTTGGTTCCTTCAGTGATGGATTAGGTACACCACATTGCTTTATTTTCACTGATGCATGATAGATTCTATTTTTGTGTACTATGGAACTGCATCTTATAGTTGTTTTGATTTGATGTTTTAAATGCAAAATTTTGTGCTTAATGTGCATAAAATGTTTTTGGTGTCTGTCAAACCAAGTAAATGATATAGCCATAGTCATAATCTCGTGTTAAAAGCGCAGAGTAAACTACTATTATTTATAGACAGTCATAAAATTCTCTTGTTAAATATTATTATTATAGACAATTAATTACCTATAGAAGAAAAATTTATAGGCAATTCTATGCTCTATGATGAAATGTTATTACGTGAATTACTTCATAAAAATGTTATTATGTGAAGCAATCATTCCGCATGTAATGCAACCAAATATGGTGGCCAAAGACATTATTAATTGATATGCTTTATTTTAACCCCCATGTGCCTCCCCTGTCTGAGTTTTTTTTGATCATTTTTTCTTCTAATTGAGCCAAGTGGAGTGGTATGCATCTTTACATAACCAATATTTACGAGTAGTCTACTGTCCATTATGAGTTGCTTTTGTTCTTGATCATTTGAACATTTTTTAATTCCTCCAGCATCCCTGGCCGTTATGAGTCATTTTGGAAGGAAGTCGATTCTGTGAAGCACATGTGGAGGAATAGAAAGGAATTGAAGGTTGAAGATGCAGGCATTGCTGCTTTGTTCGGCTTG